TGATGTTAAGGTCTTTAATCCATTTTGAGTTGATGTTAGTGCATGATAACAGGCTGGGGTCCACTTTTTGTTTTCTGCATGTGGCCACCCAGTTTTCCCAGCACCAATAGTCATTAAAACCTTATCTTTTAAAAAATTCACTGAATGTTCTACTAAGGAGGTAAAAGTCAGAACTTAATGGCCTTCCTATATCGTAACTTAGTAACACATTATGAAGAAGCTGGCCATGCAGAATGAAATGTTTCCATAATACAGTAAAGCGTCATCTAAATGCAAAAGTAGTCATTTCAGTTCAAAATGACTCTGGTGGTACTCAAGACATTGATTTTCTAAATGAAAAAAAAATCATTTCCACTGAAATGTTGTCATTGGCTACTTAACCATAATTTAAGTATTTGTGCATTATAGTAAACAGAAAGGTACTCAAAATTACTTTCATTTAGACAAAATCACTTAAAATTATTTTTGTCCCTTTTATCTTTTAATTTAGAAGGGTTAAAAAGAGTAGATTCAACTTACAAGCAAGTCTGTCCAAGGGAGATATTAATAGAAACAGGAAATGCATAAAATGAGGGGTTTTTTTTCATTCTTTACCAAATTTTCTATGTTGTGTGCATAATTCATTTAAAAATACTTTCAAGCCAGGCACTGGTGGCTCACACCTGTAATCCTAACTACTCAGGTGGCTGAAATCTGAGGATCATGGTTCAAAGCCAGCCTGGACACAAAAGTCCAGAGGACTTTCATCTCCAAAAAAAACTACTCAGAAAAAAACAGGAAGTAGTGCTGTGATCAAGTGGTAGAGCACTGAGCAAAAGCAACTCAGGGTTGGCACCCAAGCCTTGAGTTTAAGTCCCAGGACTTGAACACACGCGCGTACCATACACACACTTTCAAGCCATGTGCTGAAGGCTCATGCCTGTAAATCCTAGCTACTCAGAAGGCTGAGATCTGAGGATTATGGAAAACAACCTAAGTAAACAAATCTATGAGACTCTTTATTTCCAAATAACCAGCAAAAAGCTGGAAGTAGAAGTGTGGCTCAAGTAATAGAGCCCCAGACTTGGCATAAAAAGTGAGAAGTGCAAAGACTCAGAACTGGTACCAAAAAAGTTTTAAACCTTCAAGAAGTTTGTTTTCTAAAAAGAATGGAAGAAAAGGTTGCCGTTATTAACTATATATAAATGTGTAAATAAAATGTGTACCTACTAAGTTACACTCAACTCTAAAAGCACTGCTCTTCAGCTAGAGCTGAACAGTATCTTGAGAAACTCTGAAATGTTTAAATCTACAGGTTTCTCTGACTCTGGAATTCCACACTTATTTTTTTTTAAAAAGATCCTGAAAGTTAAAGGAATACAATAGAGTGGATGGACTTTTCAAAGTACAGTGTGCACATCTATAGAATTATTACAACAAAACCTCTTTGTAGTACTAATGTTCATGAATTTAAAAATGGAAAATTCCTACACTGGAATAATAAGATCATAAAGATTACAACTGCTGGTCAAGCCTTTGAGTTTATACTATTCTAAATGAAGACTTTATTTGTTCTTGCAACTGGATACTATAAATTCATACCTGTTTCTCACAAATAAGTTATTCATCTTCATTCTTACAACATAAAAAGGTGTTTTGGGAACAGTAATTTTTATTTGGTGAGTAAAGTTGTGACTCAATAGTAGTAACAGTACTTGCCTACTATGTGCAAAGCCCTGGGTTTGAATCCTAGCATCAAAAATGAATAACAGACAGATATAGATGATGAACAAATGGATTTGTTTCCATAATTTTCTTTTATGAGAAGAGATAATCAATTTATGTAAACTTAATTATGATACTTGAATACTATTGTTGGAAAAATGCATACTATGGTAAATAATTTAAAATGTAGATGTCACAAGAAAAAATTGTCCAGTAGTTCTATTCCAATTTTACTCTTATTAAAAATTTAAATACTAGGGGCTGGGAAGTGGCTTAGTGGTAGAGCGCTTGCCTTGCATGCCTGAGGCCCTGGGTTCAATTCCTCAGCACCACATAAGCAAAAAGAAAAAAGCCAGAACTGGCGCTGTGGCTCAAGTGGTAGAGCGCTAGCCTTGAGCTGAAGAGCTGAGGGACAGCACCCAGTCCCAGAGTTCAGGCCCCATGACCGGACCCCCCAAAAAAAACAATTTAAATACGAGAAATATATCAGAAAAAGATTTAACCTCCCATACTATATACAAATAATAGAGAAGTCTTTAAAAATTTAATTTTTTTTTCTTTTTGGTTATGTGGTGCTGAGGAATTGAACCCAGGGCCTCATGCATGCAAGGCAAGCACTCTACCACTGAGCCATCTTCCCAGCCCCTAAAAATTTAATTTTTAAAAGCCTACAACTAGAATTTATTTTTTTAAGCCTTCCTTATTAAGAAGTGAGTTTTAGTTTTTATTCTTTTGTGCTGGCACAGGTGCTTGAACACAAGACCTTGAGCTCTTGCTTAGCTGTTTCCACTCAAGGCTTGTGTTCTACTACTTGAGTCACATCTCCACTTCCACAAGAATACTTTTTAAGGCAATTTTAGCAACATAATACATTTAAAAGAAGACTATTAGGTGAGTTGGGCCTATTAATTAGCTTGGTTATAGTGTTATTTCTCATCTGTGTGTATATAAACAAATCAAGTTGTTTACCTTCTCTATATATGTATATATATATATATATATATATATATGCAATTTTGTCAATTAAACTTCAAGTTAGAAAAAGTCACTGGGAATCAGAAAGTGTATGTTTTGTCATATTTCAATTAACTCTAACACAGATACAGTTTAACTACTTGAACCAGAAGCACCAACACACAAACAAAGCTTTATAGGTACTTAAAACAGTCCAACTAAACGCTAAATTATAAATTTGCATGCAAAAGTGCTGTTTTCTTTATTAAGCTAAAATGAAGTTCTTTTCAGAAAATGAATTTTAAAACGAATTTGCACACTTTTTAGGTTAGTAATTTTTAAAAGTAGTCTCTACAAACGTTTTAAAAATAATTTATCACTCTAAGTACTTATTACAACTGCTCAAAAGCACGTACAAAGATGGTTCAGGCACTGCAATGCTGTTAGCACAAGTCCATTTAAAGAAAAAGGAGCCTGAAGTTGTTGCCTCACACCTGTAATCCTAGCTACTCAGGAGGCTGAGACCTAAGGACTGTGGTTAGAAGCCAGCCCTGGAAGAAAAGTCCTGAGTCTCAGGACTTAACTGCCAAAAAGCAAAATAGCTCAAGGACAGCATCCAAGTCCTGAAGTCCTGAGTTCAAACCCCATGATCAGCATCAAAAAAGAAGGGGGAGAGGAGGAGGAGAGGGAGGGGGGAGACAAAGGGGGGAGGAAGGGAGAGGGAGAGAGGGAGGTCAGGAGGGAGGGAGAGAAAGGAAAGGGGGAAAAAAGATTTGACTGCATATAGTGGGCAGCACTCAGGAGGCTGAGAGAAAAGGACTGAGAAGTCCAAGACTAGCCTGATCTATATAGTAAGACCCTGCTTCACCTTTCACACACAGACTGAGTCCAATAACTGCTTTGTACTGTGAATATTGTGTAATCATTTAAAAGACACCAAATAGCTACCTTTATGGACATGGTAAGATGTCCAAGATGTAGTATAGAAAAAGCAAGTTGCAAAACAATGTTTACACCACCACATACTCAGCTGTCTCTCTCTCTCTCTCTCTCTCTCTCTCTCTCTCTCTCTCTCTCTCTCTCTCTCGCTGCTCACACACACACCCCCCCCACCTATTTCTGTAGGTATATAGTGCTGATGAAAATGCAAGGAAAAAAGGTCTAAAATACGTTTAAGAACTGAAAATATGAGTAGCTCTAACGATAGGTGTGAACTTGGAATGGGAGTGATCACAGATATGGCTTCATTTCTGTGTTTTTGCAAAGAATGCACTCATACTATTTGAGACACGAAAAAGAACTTTAAATTTGACTGCCTAACTTCATAACAACTAATTCATAAACTAGAACTATTCGCTGTAATCGGGATTTTATGTGCTTGTTTCCTATTTGTTTTGAAGTCGAAAACTGAGGGCATCAAATCCGCTCACCTGGCAAAGTGACAAATCGGAAAGGTTGGGGATGGGGGGGGGGGGGGGCGGGCAGGTCCTGACGGAGCACATCCATTCTGAACACAGACTTTTTAGTTAACTCGATGTGACTCAAAAAATCATGTTATACAAACCAAACGAAAAGAGTGGAATACTGAGCCCTCGGCAGTTGAAGGCTGTTTTTAGAAAGCTTAACTAAGAAACAGAAAATGCCAGGAGTGTTTTCCAGCGGTGGGAAGAGGAACGTGAAACCCTACACTCCCCGCCCCCCCCCCCTCCCTTAAAGCGGCCAAAAGGAACTGAGCCGGCGGCCGGGACCTGGGAAGGCGCGGGGGTGGGGAGAGCTCGGCTATCACTCTTAGGTTCTGGCTTAGCGCCCCAACACAGTTTATGCCGAGTGTGATTGCAGCGAGAAATCCCCGGGGGTGAGGAACGCCTTGTGGAGACACCTAAACCCTCCCTTAGACCCAAAGTGGGGGCGGGGGGGGGGGGGGGAATAACAAGCACTCGGGGCTCTTCGGCTGAGCAGGGACTCCGGCTTTGGAGAAGAGCAAAGGCACCAACTTTTTGCTCTAAATGCCGCAGCTCTGGTAAGGTTCAGCAAGTCTTTTCCCGAGACCCGGCCCCCTCAAAACCGACCTCTACACCTTTCCAAAGCCAGTACCGCCTGTCCACGGCCCGACTCTCCGAGGAAAAATCCAGCCCGGGCGGAGGCCGACAGCTTGCATTTCAATGGGGGCTAGACCGAGGGAGATGTGGGTGCCAAGTCCAGTGACCGAGGTCCCACGAAGCACCCCAGTCTCCAGGGTACTCCGGCCGAGACACGGTGCCACCACCAACAGTCCTGGCGGCGCCCCCTCCCCCACCTCAGGGCGGCGACCTAGGCGTCCCCGCCCCGGGGGCCCCGCTCACCCAGGTAGCGACTCCGGAGCCGGGACGGGTCTTCCAGACCAAGAGACCTTTTCCTCACGTCCCACAACAGGTGTGGGCAGGAGCCGCCCCGAGACATGGCTCTGGCCAGGGCCGGGGTGGAAGGGGAGACCACCGCGGGGGAGAGGGGGAGAGGGGGAGGGGACACGCGGATCAACACCCGAGCGGCACCCGCACCATCCGCGCGCTGGGCCTCGTGGCCGCCGCGCGTCAGATGGCGGCGGCGGCGGCGCCTTCTCCCCGGGAGGCGAGCGGCACCCGCGCTGTAGCTCGCCTCATACTCTCCGCCTCAGACTAGCCGAGCACACCCGAGATCAGCAACAGTCCCCTCCTTCGGCCCCGCTCCCACGGAGGCGGAGGAGGAGGAGGAGCGGAGGCGGGAGTAACTCCTCCCTCTCCTCGTTCTGGACTCCGCCCACTGCACCATTTCTCGCGAGATCACAGCCACCCCTTTCCCCGCCCACGGGATCTGGATCTGGTGTGCGTCACAGCTGCCTTCAACCTGGAAGGATGAAGGTTCCGGCCGCTCTAGCCAGGTCCTTAATTCTCTATGGCGACCGAGGAGTAGAGAGTGGTAGCGGCAATCTGCGCTCTCTCTAGTGTCTCGCTCTTGTGTTTCTGTCCAGAAGAAGCAAGAGAGTGTGCCTGGAAGGTGGAAAATTTATTTTAGTTATGGGCCTCCTAAGTCAAAGTGAAGTGGTATGTCAGGCGCGGCTTCACTTTCCCTTCTCCAACATGGCCTCAGGAGCAGGAAGAAGTCGGGGGCTCTTGCTGCGCTCCGCCTGCGCTGTGGTTTGCGCCAATTCTGACGGGCGGCTCCTTCTGCGCAAGCGCGTTGCCAACAGCGCTCTGAGCGGAGTGGGCGCGGCCGACTCTTGAACACCTGTTGCCTTGGCTCCTCCCTCGTCTCCCCCGCCCGTGGGCAGGAGGTGGGCCGGGGCGGGGTTTCACGGAGCCTCCGCCCCCTCAACCTTCTCCGGGTGCTGGCAGCTGGGTGGTTCGGCTACATTCGTCTGAGCAGAGTGAAGGGCGTCCTAGGGCAGAGGCGGGCTAGGCGCTGTGGCAAGGGAAAGTGACGAGCTGCCTTTCGTTGCCAGGCGGAGACGAGGACACGGCGACGCTCCCACCCGGCCGCCCACGATCGCTAGGCGGCCAAGATGTCAGCCGCCGGCGCCCGAGGCCTGCGGGCCACCTACCACCGGGTCCTAGATAAAGTGGAGCTGTTGCTGCCAGAGAAACTGAGGCCTTTGTACAACCACCCGGCAGGTAATTAACCCAGAATGGTTCCCACCATGATCTTCCCTCTCTCTCCAATGGACCTTTTAGAGGCCAACTGACAGTTGCGCTATTTGACGCGCCCCAGAGCTCTGATCCCTTTTCCCCCTCTACTCGCCTGACCTCTCTGCATTTCATCTTTCATCCGGCATCCCTTCCCAAACATGTACATTTCAAATCAGCTCCCTTCCTGACCTCTCTTGCATTTGCTCCTTAAGCACTCAAAATCCTGGACCTAGCCTTCAGATTTGATCCTTCCCAACTTTTTCTATACGAAAGGGTCTAAGGGTCACCATGAAACCTTTATTCTCCTCCCCCTGCCCCCCACTTTTTTTTTCTCCACGAATTATAACGCACGCAGGAATGAGCTGGGTTTGGTGGCTTCACCCCTGAAGGTTTGGAGGGAGTAAAGGTCATGCTTTTTTGAGGCCTACAGAGAACTCTCCCCAAAACTGGTTTTCAAAGTCATGGTCATTCCTCATCCCATGCGTCCTGTTTGCTTCTCTGAAGTCTGTCTGGATGCAGTTACAGAACAAGGTACACCAGGACCTTTCTGTTGGGGAGGGGGCACAAATACGAATATAGTTTCTGCTCTACCACTTACCATAGGTGTGACCTTGGTCAGAATATTAGATATTTGGCTTAATGTGAATGTGACAATCATAGATAGAATATATGCTTGACTCCTTGGAAGTGCACAATGTTAGCTTTCTATTCTACTGGAAAACAGTATCCTTGTGGCTGGAAAAAATTATTTGTAAGAAACTGGAAGATCCCAATCACTCCAACTATAGTTATAATATAGTTCTAAAATTCTATAAAATAGAAGATAATAGTGCTTATTTGGCTGAGGACAAAAATCCACTATATTCTAAGGCCTCTTTTCAAGCATAAAATTTATCAAGTAGGAAATTTTGCTGTAGAGTGAAAGACTGAAATGCTACTGAAAAAAAAGTGGGTGTTTTTTTTCTCTCTTCATACTTAAATCTATATTCTGCAGTTGGTGTCTTTAGGAAGGTTATTTAGTCCTACCGATATCTAATTAGGAAGCAGGTCTCTGGACCCTTGTTTCCTAAATGTTGATTTCCAGTTTTACAAGGGAATGAAGTGTACATCTCTATTTTAATCCATAATATTATTTACTGCAATATTGAGCCCGTTATAAAACTGATCTTTAAGAAGTTGTTATTGAATCTTAGTTATTTCTTAGTTGTTCATACACTCAGTGTTTTGGAATTATGCTGTGGGTTTTTTAAAATTGAATTTGAACTTTAATTTTGATTTGCTGTGTTTTATGGCAAAGATTTTCAGGAGACATGATTGGGCAGTACTCTGTAAATGATCAGAATGTTCAGAATCAACTGAATTCTATAGAGTCAACTGACCCTCTTGAGCTTTGTGTTTGGGCCATGGGAGAAGGTCAGCGTAGAGGAGGAACAACTTCAAACTACTTGAAATAGTACAGGATTGAAGTAGTCTATTTTGATCTTTTCCAAGGCTTTGGCTTTTAGCCATCTGTAGTTATGGCTTATAATACTTAACTTTTGGGATGAAGAGTACATTGTTCATTTTACCTGGGCATCTTTGTTCAGTTTTTTTTCTTCCCATATAATATTTTTTTTTTTTTTTGGTCGGTTGTGGGGCTTGAACTCTGGGCCTGGGCGCTGTCCCTCAGCTCTTCAGCTCAAGGCTAGCGCTCTACCACTTGAGCTACAGCGCCACTTCCGGTTTTCTGGTGGTTTATTGGAGATAGGAGTTTCACGGTCTCTCCTGCCCGGGCTGGCTTTGAACCGAGATCCTCAGATCTCAGCCTCCTGAGTAGCTAGGATTACAGGCATGAGCCACCAGCGCCCGGCCCCATATAATATTTTTAAATGTTAATTGTACAAGACAATTTTGACATGTCCATATTTACATACAGTATACTTTGATGAGACTTGCCTCATCTGTTATTCTCCCTCACGTCCGCCTCTTACTGGTTTAGTTCTTTTTTTATTATTTTAAAGTTATGTTTATTTTTATGATAAATTTTACATCAAGCATTTGAATCAAAATTCAATCCCTGGGTTTAATATACATCCTTTATGGTTACATCTAATTATTATCTGAAAATAGACACTGAACTAAGTCAGCTAATGAATAAAATAACTATAAACAATAAACCTCAGGCGGGATCATGCATGATCAGTTAAACCATATTGCCACAGTGTTTTAGTCTCAATTCACATTTGTTTCCATCACATAGGTATCCATTTCTAGAACTGTCTTAGAGAGCAAAGGCTAACAACTAAAGCAATTTTGCCTTAAAGGAAATTCAGTTTAATACAAAGAAATGCAAGAAGAAAAATCAGGACCCTTGATCAGAAGCATTCCATGCTTGTTACTTTGGTGTACAGCAAAGATTCAAGGAAGGCTAAGGAGAAAATGTTTTCTTTGCCCACTGAAGCATGATCAATAAAGACATTGCTAATAAAGGACTTCTTACGTTAGCTACTAACTACTTAGACAAAGTCTTAGCCAGTGTTACAAAACAAAAAACAAAACAAAAAATTATTGAGAAATATGTCTCCAGGAAATAGAAACAGGAGGGTTTTCTTTGTTTCCAACAGAAGAGTAATATCTATAAATACAAACATGATTGGTTTTTCCTTCTATAATTTTTAAAATACTAAAGGGGTGCCAGCTGAAGTTCTTTTATGTCAATCTTTTTTCAGTGTAGTAAAAGGAACTCATACAGACTTGGAAGCCTGACCTAGATTGAGTCTTGGCTGTTTGACCTTGACCTTAAATTCCCCAAACTTTCCTTTGTTTTCCAACCTGTAAAATGGGGAAAATAATTATCACTATTTAAAGATGGTTGTGAGCTAAGCGCTGGTGGCTCACATCTGTAATCATAGCTACTCAGAAGGCTGAGATCTGAGAATAGAGGAAGCCAGCCTGGGCAAGAAAGTCCAATTAATCACCAGAAAACCAGAGATCACACTGTGGCTCAAAGTGGTAGAGCACTAGCCTTATGCAAAAGAGCTCAGGGACAATGTGTAGGCCCCAAGTTCAAGCCCCATGCTGGACAAAAAAAAAAAAGAGAGAGAGAGAAAGATTGTTGTGAAAAATAAATGATGCAATATCTTTAAAACATGTAGCATGACTCCCAACTCACGCATTTAAGCTTTTGAATAATATGCAGAGTAAAGATATATATTGTTAGAAACTTATGATTGGGAAGTTGTAGGCACATCAAAAAAATAGAAATGGGGAAGCATGGAAAATAATATTGCAGACTTATTAGTATTGAATAAAAGGAAATTATTCCAAGAGTTATCCAGAGTGAAAATTCCCTTGGCATGCTTTTTGTGTATGTGTGTGTGTGTGTGTGTGTGTGTGTCCGTCCGTCGTGGGGCTTGACCTCTGGGCTTGGGTGCTGTCCCTCAGCTCTTCAACTCAAGGCTAGCACTCTACTGCTTGAGCCACACGGCCACTTCCGGTTTTCTAGTGGTTTATTGGAGATAAGACTTTCCTGCCCAGGCTGGCTTTGAACTGAGATCCTCAGATCTCAGCCTCCTGAGTAGCTAGGATTACAGGTGTGAGCCACCGGCGCCCGGCCCTTGGCATGCTTTTTTGCATAATGGTATTTGTTATTGTCATCCTGTGAATATTAGACTAAATTCATGTACAAAGCTTTTTTCAATGGTATGCAAGGATAGAATGTTAACATTTGAAAATTATACACTTCTGATCCTAAACTTTGAGATTCATTTTTAACACTGACAAGTATTCCTAAATGATAACAGGAGTGTTATCTATCATAGCTGGAATATTATGTGACCAGAAATTTTGAGGCCTTGGTCATCCATTTCCCTTTATGTTGTTCTGTTTAAAAAAAGAAAAGAAAAGAAAAAAAGAGTTGTAACTAAGTATGTGTCCAAGTGAAGTTTCTCAGCTCATATTAGGAAAACCCCTAACGTATTACCACCTAACTGTATACATAACCATGACTCCAGTGAACACTTACATAGCCATACTCTTAAGTATTTGTCAGAGAAATAACCTTGAAGCCATGTTTCCCAATGTTTACTTAACAGCTTAGTTGGTGCTATGTGTTGAAAATGGTTTAAGTGTCCTTCAACATTTTATATATAGAAATGTAGTCCCTATTTCAAAGCATTTAAAAATTGGACACTTAATCATAGATGGAGCCTTTAGGAAGTGATTGAAATTAGGTAAAGTTTATAAGGTGAAACCTCCCTGATTGAATCCTAGTGACTTTATAAGGGGCAGGGGCGGGGGGAGACACCATACATAAATATGCATGTGCACTGTTTCTGTCTCATGCCTTATGATGCTCAGGACTCTTGACAGCAAGAGGGCCATGACCAGGTAACATCCCTAGATCTGATAACCTCATGAACCATGAACCAAAATAACCCCTTTATGAAGTAGTCTGCCTCGAGTATTTCATTATAGTAAGGAATATGTACTGATATAATTGGGAGGGGGTAGTCTTTTTCAGCGTGTATGTGTGTGTGTGTGTGTGTGTGTGTGTGTGCATGTGCATGCTGTTCCTGGGCTGAAACTCAGGACCTGGGTGCTATTGCTGGGTGTTTTTACTCAAGGCTAGCAACTCTATACTTGAGCCACTTTCCTGCCCAGGCTGGCTTTGAACCTCACTCTTCAAATCTTAGACTCTTAAATTACTAGGATTACAGGTTTGAGCTACCAGTGCCCAGCATGGGAATGGTCTTTTTAAAAAGGAAAAATTACTATTTGCATTTATAAATATCCACATCAGATTATTTGGTACATGTCAGCATCCTCTGGTAATTCAGAAAATAAGCAATTCAGAATGTCTTGCATATTTGTTAGTGTCTGTGGTTAAAAAATACCCACTAATTAAAATTCTTTTGATCCAAGGTTCAAGCAACTTTAATTTCATGTTTTAATAATTTTGTTTCTCCTGTTTGTGTCTACTAGAGCTGTTTACACAGTATTATTAAATTATCACCTTGCTTGGAAAAGTTGAGTAAATTAGTAAGAAACTTATTAGAAAGCTATTGTAACTGAAAAAACCAAATCTGCATGTGATCTGTAATCCATCACTAAGAGAGTAGAAGCAGGAAATTCACTTGTTTAAGACTAGCCTGGTCTATATAGTATATTCCAGACCAGCCTGAGCTACTGAGGCAAAATAGGGGAGGGAAAGGGAAGACAATGGGAAGGAGAATGGAAATGAGGGGAAAGGAGGAGAGGAGAGAGAAGGAAAAGACCAGAATCTGGAACTTTATAATGAAAATGATTTTGGAGTAGCAGAAAGGAACATCAATTTTGAAATAGGAAGACAAGTCTCCAGAAGAGTACATGATATCTTTTTGATGATTTTATAGAAATATTTAAGCAAAATATACAGAGAAATCCATTTTTTGACTTCTTTTTTTTATTGCGAAAATACTGTACAGAGGGCAAGATAATGAGTACATTTCTTATCAAGCATTGTAGCCTCCTCCTTTGTTTCCCCTTCCCATCCTCCCCCGCCCCCCCAAAAACCTCCCTGCCCCCCCCACCAAAGTTGTAAAGTTCGTTTTCTACATAACAGCTTGTACATCTCATTGTTGCAATGAGTCCACCTGTACCCTATTTAAACGGTTTGTTTTTCCCCTTCCCCTCCACAAATTATACCGACATCAAATACAGTGAAAGCAGGGGTTATACTGTGGGGGAGGGACATACAAAGCAACAAAGAAATAATCTTATAAATGTGTTAGAAACATTCGCATGAAAGAAATAAATTTGAATACATATCTTAGGGTTCATTTCCCTAACATCACATTATCTGACCTTTTCTGCTTGACTCAGACATATACTAGATATTGCAAATAAGGGAAACCATGGGACCTATGTTTCTTTGGGCCTGGCTTACTTCACTTAATACAATTTTTGAGAAATCCATTTTTTTTACATTTTAAAATTGTTTTCAGTTTATGTTAACATCAACCAACAATGGGTTTTGGTTTTTTTCTTTTTCTTTTTCTTTTGAGACAGTCTCGCTCAGTAGCCCAAAATGGCCTCCTCCATTTTCCCATCCTCCTGCCTCAACATGCGCTAACCACACACAGCTCTTAACCAACTACTTTTGACAGTACTCTCAACACAAGCTTATCATCATGTATTCACTTCTATTTTGGTTGTTGGTATTACCAAAGGATGAAACTAGTTTTAAAAAAAGTACTTCTTTTTTGACAAAAGTACTTTATAGCCTTAAGTTTCCCTAAATGGTTTTTATATGGCTTCTAGAAATGATTTCACTTAAGTAGCCTTCCTGTTCTTAGGTCATTAAAAACCAGAACTGGTCTGATGCTGTTGGCTCACACCTATAATCGTAGCTACTCAGGAAGATCGGGGATCGAGTTTTGAAGTCAGCCAGGGTAGAAACATCCCTATGAGACTCTTACCTCCAATTAACCACTCAAAAACCAGAAGTGGCCGGAGCCAGTGTGTAACACCTGTAATCCTAGCTACTCAGGAGGCTGAGATCTGAGGATCATGGTTCAAAGCCAGCCTGGACAGGAAAGTCCATGAGACTCTTATCTCCAATAAACTAGTAGAAAACCAGAAATAGCACTGTGGCTCAAATGGCAGAGTCCTCACCTTGAGCTAAAGAGCACACGGACAGTGCCCAAGCCCCAGAGTTCAAGTCCCATGACCGACCAAAAAAAAAACAAAAAACAAAAAACAGAAGTAGCACTGTGACTCAAAGTGGTAGAGCACTAGCCTTGAGCAAAAAAGCTCAGGGACCAGTGCCCAGGCCCTGAGTTCAAGGACCATGACTGACAAAAATAAATGAATAAATAAAAGCCAGCACTGTATTTTATTTAATGTATTTATTTAATGTTCTATTTAAGTGTCCCCACTACCTGGAACACTATACCTCATGTGGTAATTATTATGGTTGTCTCACCCATCTATAGTGGTCTTTTCTGTGACAAAGTAGACTCAGAACTATAGTTAGTTATTAACCTTGCTCAGTGCTCTTCAACTTCAATTTTTCTGCTTCTAAATGATAGATCTAACTCAGTGTTGTCTTTCAAATGGTAGCTGACCATATGTGTATTGTATTAATGAGAATGAGTTCTATTTAGGAAAAAAGGGGGGTTAAATGTATCTTTACCTAGGTAGTAGCACTGTTGAGAAATATTAATTGGGAGCAGATGAAGAGAAGTAAAATGTGTTCTACTTGAGTGATGACACCTAATTTTAGACAGGGAGTGTGTGTGTGTGTGTGTGTGTGTGTGTGTGTGTGTGTGTGTGTGTGTGTGATCCATAAAGACAAATTATTCTTGCAAAGCAAAATGTTATAGTCATGACCACATGATCCTCCCAAAATGCAGAAAGTTTTTTAAAAAAGAGTTTAAGAGTTTGCATCTAGGAACATAAAAATGTTAACAGCCTCGTGCTCATGGCTCATGCCTGTAATCCTAGATATACGGGCAGTTGAGATTTGAGGATCTAAGTTCAAAGCCAGCCTGGGCATGAAAGTCCCTGAGACTCCTATCTCAAATTAACTACCTGAAAACAAAGCAGAGCTGTGACTCAAAATGATAGAGTGCTAGCCTTGAGCACAAAAGCTCAGAGAAAGTGCGAAGGCCCTGAATTCAAGCCCCACTACCACCACCAACAATGAAACTGTTAACAAAATGTGCATACTAGCCTCAGGAGGCTAAGGTCTGAGAGATCGTGGTTCAAGATCAACCCAGGCAGGAAACCCCATGAGATTCTTATCTCCAGTTGATCACCAAAGCCAGTATGCACACTTGTAATTTCAATTACATGGAAGGCATAAGAGGAAAATTACAGCCGGGCGCTGGTGGCTCACGCCTGTAATCCTAGCTACTCAGGAGGCTGAGATCTGAGGATCGCAGTTCAAAGCCAGCCCAGGCAAGAAAGACCGTGAGACTCCTATCTCCAATAAACCACCAGAAAACCGGAAGTGGCGCTGTGGCTCAAGTGGTAGAGCGCTCGCCTTGAGCTGAAGAGCTGAGGGACAGCGCCCAGGCCCAGAGTTCAGGCCCCACGACCGACAAAAAAGAAAAAAAAAGAGGAAAATTACAGTCCAAGGCCAGCCCCAGCAAAAAGCACAAAACTCTACCTGAAAAATAACTAAAATAGAAAAGGGTTTGGGGCATTACAAGGTAGAACGCCTGCTTAGTAGTCATGAGGCCCTGAACCCAAATGCCAGTGCGACCACTACACACAAAAAATGCATGTATTATTTCTGATTTTTTTTCAGGTCCCCGGACAGTTTTTTTCTGGGCTCCAATTATGAAATGGGTAAGTCTTGACTTTTAGCAGAAGCTATTGAAATACTTTTTTTGACATTTTTTAATACCATGTATTGGTTGTACAAGGGAATTTCATTATGACATATGCAAAGAATGTACCTGGCTCAAATTCTCCCCTCTATTTCTCTCCCTCATCCTCTTTCTCCCATTTGTTAAAACAATTTCAACATTCTATGATTTTTCTGTCTGTAAAGTACTTCAACCATATTCACCTTCACCTTCTCCCTTGGCCCTCCCTGTACTATAGGTACCCACCCTCCACAGAGCTTGTTTTATGTCACTGTTACTAATTTGATAAAATAATTAATAATAGAAGCTACTTTTTAGCTAGATCCTATGAAGAATATACTTCATTGGAAATAACAATTATTGGATATTATTGGAAATAACAATTGTTGGAAATAAATATATATTGGAAATAATTGTGGCATGCATTCTCAAGTGTATTTCTTATTATCCATGCAGATTTTTAATTCCTATTTGGTTTTCCAGCTGGAACAAATTATATAGTTTAATTCAATTTAAGTTCTTAAGGATTTTGCTATGTGTAAGCGTTTTGGAGTTTTTAGCATGCACTCTCTAAAAGTGTCATATGACATATGACTTTTGGGGGTTATTTTTTGAAGGAGTTTGTAATTGAGACAGGGTTTTGTGTGTTTCCCAGGCCTCAGACTCATGACACAGTCTAGGTTAGCCTCAAACTTAATTTCCTTCTGCCTTTATCTCTAAAAGTGCTAGAATTAGAAGAATGTGCCATCTTATGACAGGCCATGTCTCTAGCCCATTCTACTACAGTTATTTTTTTCAATAGGACCTCAATTCTTTCCAGTGCCAGCCTAGATCTCAATCCTCCTATATATACTTCTTCACCATAGCTGGAATTACAGGCATGAATTGTCATGCCCAGCTTTTTCTATTGAGATGGGTGGGGTCTTGTGACCTTTTATTGCCTGTGTTTTTCCTGGAGTTGCAATCCTCCTGATTTCAGACTCCTGAGTAGCATGAGTCACTGGCACCTGCCTTAATAAACAGAAAAATAGTGAAGGAAAGAGGAGGATGAAGAGGAAAGGAAGAAAAAGGAAAAGTCAGAGGGGTTGGGGAAGAAAGGGGGAAGAAAAAGAAAATCACATGGGCTTCAGACATTTGAAAATCATCTTTTAATTGATGAAAGCTATAGAAACTAGCTGGATCTTCTAGATGCCAAATTGTATAGGGTTATTTAATACATATCTTATTTAATCTTCATCCAAAAATAACCTGAGAAATAAACATTATCATTGTTTTCCAGGTAAGGGTAATAGGTTCAAAGGACTAGATGAGCATGCATATACTATTTTTAGTAAGTTACAAAGTCAGAAGTTGAACATCCCAGTTTGAATTCAAAGCTTTAGCTATTAAGCATTCGTTTATCACATTTAAAATAGTCATTATGGGTCCAATACTTTCTTAGTGTATACCATTAGGGAATATCTTGTGTTATAACTCTAATCACTTTCCAAATCTATAGTGCCATTTATTTGAATGAATAAAGTTGAAGAGGAACTTGATTTACTCCTCAGCTGGAGGCTAAAAATGTAGGAAAGGATAGCTACAGAGATTAACATTTATCTGTACCACTCTAAAATATATTTTGTTTTATTTTGTCTTTTGTTTTGGTGGGGTTTAGTTTTAGTACTAGGGATTGAACCCAGAGCCTCATGGTCCTCTACCATTTGAACTGTGCTGCCCCTAACCCTTGCTAATTTTTGTCCAAACTGGCCTCAAATTCACAATCTTCCTGTCTCACTATAGCTTGGTACAGTAGCTACAGTACACAGTAAGTAGCTCTAGCTACTTAGAAAGCCTTGAGCCAAGAGTTCAAGGACAATCTGGGCAAAATACCAAAAGAGATTATAAATAAATAAATATATATATATATATATATATCTTTAAGAGAATCAAATTGTGTGTGTGTGTGTGTGTGTGTGTGTGTGTGTTTGTGTGTGTGTGTGTGTGTGTGTGTGTGTGTGTGTGTGTGTGTGTGTATCTTTGAGAGAATCAAATGTTCATGAAACTAGGTTTTTATAACCCAGGCTCAAAATCCTGCCATCACCTTAGGCCCAGGCACTTGCCCCCATGTGCCAGTGAAGGGTAGAAAAAAGAAACTTATTACATGGCAGCATGGGAAGACAGCACGTCAGTACATCTTCTGTAGTCTTGGGGAGTGGGGGCCATACAGATGTGGCCTGGTTGGCACAGTTACTTGTTATCTCTGGGGGCCTGGAGATCTGTAGCTTTGGGCCCATTTTGTGACAAAAGGCAAACAGCTCCTCAAGATAGAACATTTTCTAATCAACTTAAAGCTGTTTGCCTTTTGTCATGAGATGGTTATTGGTGAATATATTCCTCCTGAACTTGAGGTGATTATAATGTGACTGCTAGAGGGAATAGCTCAGATCAAGGAGCACAAGTGCACAGACTGGCTACTCAGCTTTTAGTTAATTGACAAGCCCAGCAAAAAGCAACTTTTAAATTGCTTACATATACTGAGGGTGTGGACAATCTTAACTTCTGACTTCTTAAAAAAATTATAGGCTATTTCTCATAATCCTCATATATACATTCATTGAGACACAGTGTAATGTATGGACCTAGAAGTTAGTCTGTTTTCTACCAACAGTTTTCCATCTGTAGTTTTTCATCATTGCTTAAGAATCAGAACAAAAATGGAGCAGAGAAAATATAGGTTATGACACAAAGAACAATGTAGTAAATTTGTAAGCTTACCATCATTGCTTTCTTAAGCTACTAACTTCATTAATTCAAAGCCATTAAGGGTAGGAACAGCAGGACAGTATTGAGAAGGCAAATGCAGGAGGATTGAGATTCAGCTAATCTTGGGCTATCTATAGCAAATTTTAGGCTCAGAAGTGATTCCCTTAACATGATGCCCCACACTGATTTTTTTTTAGGAGCAAAAGCTTTTTACAGATTTATATTCTCTATATAAGGACCTCTTTTAGAAACTTTGTTAAAATACTAGCCTAATTTCTTATAACATTCTCTAGTGACATATTTAGGATTTGCTAAAGAGAAAATAATAAAGGGAAGAGAAGAGACAAAATCTTAATGTTGACTCTGGGTAATAAATGTGTAGAGGTTTATGTACTATCTTATCTTATGTAGGATTGAATTTTTGTTAAAAAAATGTTTAAAGACAGACACCAGTAGTTCATGCCTGTAATCCTAGTTACTAGGGATGCTGAGATTTGAGGATTACTGTTCAAAGCCAGCTGTGGCAGGAAAGTCCATGAGACTCTTACCTACAATTAGCCACCAGAAAACCAGAAGTGCACTGTGGCTCAAGTGGTAGAGTGCTAGCCTTGAGCTGAAGAGCTGAGGGACAGTGCCCAGGCCCAGAGTTCAAGCCCCACAACTGACAAAAACCAGTTTTTTCAAAAGCTCAAAAACTCATTACCAAACCTTCTGCATAATGCTGACAGTAGCTAGGAAGGGGAAGATTCTGTAAAAGAAAGTAATAAAATGTACCAGAGAATAAATGACCATATATAAAGAAAAATTAACAACAAAAACAATGTATATTCTACTTGCAACTCTTTGGTAGATTATTATAGAGAAGAGTTTCATGGACTTTCCTGCCTGGTCTGGCTTTGAATGGCAATTCTCAGATCTCAGTCTCCTGAGTAGCTAGGATCGCTACTGACTTGATTTCTTCTACTTTTAAAAAAGGATAATTTTTTGTTTGGATCTACATTTACTTAGACATTATAATTACAGCTATTGTCTCAGAAATATTTTGTGTCTAAAACAATCACCTTACACTCCTGATGCCTTTTTTCTTTCTGTGTGTTGCTAGGGGTTAGTGTTGGCTGGATTGGCTGACATGGCCAGACCTGCAGATAAACTCAGCACTGCTCAGTCCAGTGTTTTGATGGCTACAGGTAAATTATATGAATGTCTGCCATATTCCATTAGAATATGTTATTTTTGTTTCATATTTTATTTAATAATTCAGTTTTTAATGCATGCATACATCATTCACACAAAACAGATAACTTGCCTGTCCCTAGGAGGTTATTGCATAAGCAACAGAGAGGACAAAGAAGGTTGCTAAAATAAGTATACATGTGCATGCGTGCACACACACAAGCATGTACACCAATATTAGGACTTGAACTCAAGTCCTGGGTGCCATCTCTGAGCTGTTTTGTAAGGCTGGCACTCTACCACTTGAGCCACAGCTTGTCTTCTGGCTTGTTGGTGGTTAATAGGAGATTAGAGTCTCACAAACTTTCCTGCCTGTGCTGGCTTAGAACTGTGGTCCTCAGATCTCAGTCTCCTGAGTAGCTAGGATTACAAGATATGAGCCATCAGCACCCAGCTTCTGAATGGGATTTTGTTTTCAGGTTTTCTCTGAGCGTATTTTTATAAATGGGAAAAAAGTTGCAGTTAATACTCACTTGGCTGTAGAGTGGCTCCCATTTATAAAGTAAGAACTGACTTTCATTAATACTTAAAGATACTTTTTTGAAGACTCAAGAGTTTAACATTTCTTTATCCTTCATCCTATGTTATTGTTGTCATAGAGTAAGATTATTTTTGTAATATTAAATATTCAGATAAGTCATTTCATCAGAATCTTCACCTTTAAAAAGAAAAACTAATTTTGTCCCAACAGGGTTTATTTGGTCAAGATACTCACTTGTAATTATACCTAAAAATTGGAGTCTGTTTGCTGTTAATTTCTTTGTGGGGACAGCAGGAGCCTCTCAGCTCTTTAGAATTTGGAGGTAAGCCTACCCAGATACTATTTTAAACTATTTTAGAAGCTTACCCAGAAGACATTATGTAGTATTAATAATATGATGGGAATGTACCTGAAGCAGAAATTTACCATTCCTAGAAAAGTCAGGGGGAGGGTGCAAATAAGTTAAAAGCACTTGAGCCAAGCGCCAGTGGCTCACGCTTAGTAGCTACTCAGGAGGCTGAGATCTGAGGATCACAGTTCAAAGCCAGCCCAGGCAGGAAAGTCCGTGAGACTCTTATCTCCAATAAACCACTAGAAAACTAGAAGTGGCACTGTGGCTCAAGCGGTAGAGCGCTCATCTTGAGCTGAAGAGCACAGGGACAGCGCCCAACCCCAGAGTTCAAGCCCTACGACTGACCCAAAAAAAAAGTACTTGAGTAAAATGTTGCTTAGTTTTAAATCTCACAGTGCATTGTCCAGATGGATACTCCCTTTTACATAGTCTCTTTTATTAAGACAACATATAAAAATTTGGATCTATTGTTTCCAGTAAGAGCCTTTTACCATCCACCTTCAGTTACATACTGAAGTGAGATTTCAGTGTATAATGACATTACAATGAGGCCATTGGCTTCACTGGAAATGAAATAAGTTGTTTTTTTTTAACTATGAACTCAATGGTAAATAGTAAGGGTAATATGATCAAATATTTAAAATTAGGATCTTTTGAGAAAGCTAAGCTCTGATCAGCTTCATAAATAAGCACATTCTTATTGCATAGTATAAGCATTAGCTAGCTACATCTATTTTCTAATCTACTGTAAAGTGGAAAGAGAAGCAAGTAGAGTCCAGGATCATACAGAGGAAAGACTCTATGACTCTGTCATTTATTCTTTCCTGGATTAATGAGTATTGAGGAAACATTCCTTAGCGTCAGTAAACTTCAATGTTTATATACTGTTGACCTGTTGAAAAAAGGGTATATTTTACTTCTAATGATTAGACAGAAATGCAGTGCCAATTTATTTAATTCTTAGGTACTTTATAAATATAAGATGGAAAATTCTAGTAGCCAAACTTTATGCATATGTTTGAGTTTGTCCTAAAAATAGACCTGGGAATGTGACTCAGTAAAATAACTTTGCCTAGTATATGCAGGTACCTGGAATTGATCCACAGCACCATTAAAAAAAGAAAATATTTATTAAAACAATAATTTTACACAAGAAACCATATGTTGAATAACTTGTTGAAACTTAATGGTAGTTGGGATTTTATTATTAAAAATATGGGCCTGTGAACCATTTGGATCACTTACTTTTCATTCTGCCTGTTTGGATCTATAAGCTCCTATGAAGATTCCCTTTTGACAAAGAAATAGAATGAGCTTCTTACACTCTGATTACCATGTATTAATCTATTGATATTACTGATCAATTATTTTCTGTGTTTTTATAGATATAACCAAGAACTAAAATCTAAAGGAATCAATTAAAGGAGTTCCTGATCACCTGAACAACCTAGAATATGGACATAACCACTGGGACCTAGTTTATTACTGATAAGGTGATATTAACTGTGCTAACATTTGGAAGGCGCTAGAGAAAAAAATACTGTAACTATAGACTAGTGCTTGATTCTACAGAAAAATAAAGCAAACGTTTAATAACAGTCTCTCCTTACCTGTAACTTTAAAGGAACCTATCTGTGGATATAATGGTTATCAGTAAAAAAAAAAAATTTCTACCATTTGTCCTTAATAAATCATACTTGATCATTCATACCGTCAGCCTCCTCCTGTTTTCAGACACACTATTCAGACATAAAAGCAAACAAAAACTGAGCATATTATCACACACCTGTAATCCTAACACTTGAAAGGCTGAGGCAGGAGGATTGTAAGTTTGAGGCTAGTCTTGGATATATAATGAGAGCCTGTTTTTAAGAATCAAAAGCAAAAAATAAAAACAACAATTTAAGCAACATGAAAGACAATTGAAAGGCTTAAGTAATCTACTTATTTAGTCAATGATGGTCAAGTAGCTATAGGTGAAAAGAATGTGAGAAAGATAGTAGAATAACTAGTCATATGGCCCCATACTATTTATAAACCTTTTAACTTGACATGAAGGATTATTTTGTTCCTTACACATTATATACAATTATTTTACACTTACAATTTGATCTGGCAGTACGAGAGTTTGAACTCAGGCCCTTATGTTTGGTGGATAGGTACTCCACCAGTTGAGCCACACTGCTAGCCCTGCAGCTTCAGATTTTTAAGTAGGACCATTTGGAAGACTGAGATGTTACCTTTTTTATTTTTGGTTATGGGGCATACACATGGGGCCTGGTAGCTGTCCCTGAGCTCTTTTTGCAGAAGGCTAGCACACTATCACTTCGAGCCACAGCACCACTTCCTCTTTTCTGGTGGTTAATTGGACATAGAATTGGACATAGTCTCAGGGACTTTCCTTGCAAGGTTAGCTGTGAATGGTCATCCTCAGATCTCAGCCTCCTAAGTACTTAGGATTACAGGCATAAACAACCAACACGTGGCTGAGATGTTGCTTTTTAACATAGTGCATGGTCCATAATAAATGTTAAGTTTTATCAATAATTTATAAAATATAGCACAAAAGATTCTAAAGTCAGACTGACTTGAATTTGAATTCCCATTCTATGATTTATTAACTTGGCTTCAGGGGAGTTGAGTACCTAGCTGAGTATCTGGGATCTAGGTAGGCTTTCTGTACATTTGTGGCCTTTGTCTCCATAGTGAGAAGACACTGGGCAAATTAGTCTACACTAGGAATAATCAGCAGTCTTAAGTTGGCCTTCAATATGGTATACTGAGATTTTTTTTCTAAAAGTGCTAGTAAAACCAGTCTTCATTAGAACTCTAATTAGATAGATTCACAAAGCAAATTATTTCAAAATTTGAAGAAACAGGGTTCATTTTTTTGTTTTATTTTGTTCATGTTTTTGTTTTATTTTGGGCCTTCCCCATCCTAAATGCACATGCTTACCACTGAGCTATTCTCCAGGCAAATGACTTTTTTTTTGGGGGGGGGGGGGGTCCAGTCGAGGGGCCTGAACTCTGGGCCTGGGCGCTGTCCCTCAGCTCTTCAGCTCAAGGCTAACGCTCTACCACTTGAGCCACAGCGCCACTTCTGGCTTTTTTCTTTTTACTTATGTGGTGCTGAGGAATCGAACCCAGGGCCTCAGGCATGCAAGGCAAGCACTCTACCACTGAGCCAACTTCCCAGCCCCAAATGACTTTTTAATAATACCATATACTTAACTGGTAACAATTTAGCAAGATCTGTGTTTTACCATTTGAATCTTTACCAGTTGAACTTTGAGGAGAGGAAAATTTGAGAATTAGACATAAGACAAAAGTGAAGAAGTTCTGAACAAATTATAGGGTTTTTTTATATTATACTGTTAAACTTATTTGTCCTGTATGTGCACAGGAAGTATAGCATAGACCCCCAAAAAAGTTTATTAAAATGTATGCCATAGGTTTTCTCTTGAAAACATACTTTTTTTTTTGGTTGGTTGTGGGGCTTGAACTCTGGGCTTGGGCACTGTCCCTGCGCTCTTCAGGTGAGCACTCTACTATTTGAGCCACAGTGCCACTTCTGGTTTTCTAGTGGGTTTTTTTAATTGGAGATAAGAGTCTCATGGACTTTCCTGCCCGGGGTGACTTTGAACCTCAATCCTCAGATCTCAGCCTCCTGAGTAGCTAGGATTACAGGCATGAGCCACAAGCACCCAGCTAAAACTTACTTCTTGTGTATGCAAAGCCCCACTTAATTACCAGTGAAACTATTTATAATATCTAGATGCATTTACTTGCTTCCCAAGGTTGGCTTTCATTCAAAAAATATTGATCCAAGGTGCATTAGTACTGTTGTCTCTCCATTGTAAACATTTCTTTTTTTAAAGTTAAAGTAATAATGAAAGGTTAAATGTTAACAATGATTAACTTCAAAACACTGGTCTCTCCCTTAAAGCAAAAATTTACCAGAGACCTTTTCTATAATGAAACAAATAGCAAACACCAGCAGCTACTAGATTGCTTCCTAAGGTATTTGTTTAATAAAATGTGTTATACTTCTAGGACTAGTTTTCATAACCAACACCAGAAAATTCACTCAAAAACATAATTAACCTTTTTTTTAACCCTTGAAACTGCTTTACAACATTTCAGCAAAATAAATGTGATTAATAATGGACTAGATTTGAGAATATTTACATCTGTTTTCAGTTAGACTTTTAAATTCAAGTTTTAAATATATCCCCATATTTGTTAATAGTTGTGCTAAATGTAAGAACAGCAAGGAAATTTAAATGTGATTTAAGATATTAGAAAATAATACCATACAATAAAAGAAAGTAGACAAAAAACATGAAAATATTGCCAGTGTTACATTGTATTAAGAAAACTCAGACTCAAACTGAGGATCATATTGAGTTTCAAGTTGAATAGAAGTATGCATTTGAACCAGGCACTACCTACATACCTGGCTACTCAGGAGGCTGGTCCTGGTAGAAAGGTCCACCAAGACTGTATCTCCATTAATCAGCATAAAAGCTGAGCTGGAGGTATAGCTCTAGTGGTAGAGTACCACCCTAGGGAAAAAGCTTAGGAGAGTACAAGATTCAAGTTCAGGTACCAGCACACACACACACACACACACACACACACACACACACACAAATATGCACTTGAGGTCAGGAGTGGTGGTGCACATCTGTAATAGTAATGTTCAGGAGACATGAATCAAGCTATGTAGTGAGTCCTTACGTGGAAAAAACATGGATTGAGGATGTAGATCAATGGCAGAGTGCCTGCTTAGCAAATGCAAGGCCTTGAGCTCAATCCTCTGAGAAAACAAAAATTTACCACACACACACTAATGCACCCATGACTCATGTGTATAATTCTAACTATTCAGGAAGCTAGAATTGAGGTTTGAAATGAGCCCTGGTAGAAAAGTCCGTAAGACTTCATCTCCAATTAACCAACAAAAAGCCAGCTCAAGCCGGGCACCTGTGACTCACACCTGTAATCCTAGCTACTCAGGAGCCTTGAGATCTGAGGTTCATTGTTCAAAGCCATACTAGGTAGAAAAGTCCCCATGAGTCTCTTATCTCCAATAAACTATTCAAAAAAGCCAGAAGTGGCACTGTGTCTCAAGTGGTAATATGCTAGCCTTGAGCACAAAGAGGCTCAGGGACAGCACCTAGGTCCTGAGTACAAACCCCAGGATGGGCAAAAAAAAAAAAAAATCCAGTTCTGGTCATTTTTATAGTCCTAGCAGAGCCATAATCACAACAGTAGAGTTCCCCTTACCAGATCTTCCAAGGTCCCCAGTGGATCCTGAAATCACACATAATACAAGCCCTAGCCCTATCCATACTATGTTCCCAAAACATCCACACCTCTGACAACGCCTACTTTATAAACTAATGCATCCTGAGGGCTTCACTACAGCAATAGTAGAACAGATGAGAATGATAGCAACAAACATACTGTAATAAAAGTTACCTACATTTGGTCTATCTCATCTGCTGTAGAGTAAGCAGCCTGTATAAGTGGATACACCAGACCAATGGATAACATGTTCTAAATAGGGTAGAAAAGGTTGACATGAGCATTCATCATACTATTCAGAAACACAATTTAAAAGCTATGACATGTTTATTTCTGTAATTGTCCATTAACACTTTCAGATTATGGTAGGCAACAGGAACCTCTTAACCACAGACAATAGTCTACTATATTAACTAAAATTAGGTGCTTGATGGCACTTGTCTTTATGATAATCACCTATCAACAATGGCCAAATTTCAGTCACCTTTCTTATGGTCAACAAAATAGTTGTGTAAACTGCTTTGAGGGTCATATTAATCTCCCCTAACACTGCATGTCCAGCAAGAGAACCTAACCTGAGCCAGTCCTAGAAGAGCAGCAGGCCTCACAGAATGGTGGGGGGAGGGGAAGGTGTGCCAACCAATCAGAAGCATAGTCAGTGCCCATGAAACAATACACTGGTGAGGGTGTGGCCTGGAAAACGGCTTTTAGACAAAACTGTCATTTTTATGGGTCTGCTATGGACAGGCACAGCATTTCTGTTGGATTCAGAATAATATCCAAGTTTCTTATTTTCTGCATTCCTGAGAGATCCAGCCCCTAATCTAGGCTCTCACTTTTCCTCAGCCTTGGAGAAAAGAGGTATGTTGAAGTAGCAGCATCAGTAGAAGGAATGGACACAGAGCTAAAAATGAGAGTCACCATCTAGTATGACAGATAGTGGACTTCAGAGGAAAGCCTTGAACTAGATGTTAAGGTTCAAACTTAAATGGCTTTTGTTTTTTGTCAGTTGTGAGGCTTAAATTCAGGACTTGGGCGCTGCCCTTGAGCTCTCTAGCTCAAGGCTAGTGCTCTATCACTTTAAGCCACAGCTCCACTTATGTTTTTTAATTGGTTAATTGAAGATAAGAATCTCACGGGGACTTTTCTGCCCTCGCTGGCTTCAAATCCTGATCCTCAGATCTCAGCCTCCTGCAATGCTAGGATTACAAGCCTGAGCCACCAGCACCTGACACTTACATGTATTTCTATGCCTGTCATTTTTATCCTTTCCTACTTATTAGAGATAGTTTCTATCTTTAATCTCTCCCTTATGTATAGTCAGAAGAAAAACTCCTAGGTTTTCCCTTCTTCCCTCCCTCTTCTCCTCCCTCCCTTCCTCCCTTTTTTCCTTCTTAC